AAAAAGACAGGAGGAGACAGAACTGGAAGTGGCAGAAATGAAAATGTTGAGGTTCTACTTAGGAGAGACAAGGATGGAGAAGATTAGGAATGAGATCCTCAGAGGTACAGCACAGGTTGAACAACCGGGAGATAAAGTTAGAGAGGACACACTGAGATGGTTTGGACATGTCCAGAGGAGGGACAGTGGTTTGGACATGTCCAGAGGAGGGACAGCAGGTATATTGGTAGAAGGATGTTAGAATAGAAATGCAGCTGCCAGGAAAAAGACACAGACATGATGTATGGATGCAGTTAGAGAGGACATGGAGGTGGTTGGAGTGAGGACAGAGTGAGATGGAGGACGGCTCACTGTGGTGACCCCTGAAGAGGGAAAAGCCAAAAGAAGAAGATTGTTAACCAGACATACAACTGTCTTAAAAACGGCAATAGTTAATGTTTTAACTTTGTGCCTTACAAAAATGCATATATTTATATTTTGCATTCCATGCTAACCATTTGCCTTCATCAGCTTTAGCCGACTTGTGTGCCCGTCTGCTCTCTGAGGCGCTGCGGTTCACAGAATGAGGACGTCCAATGTCGAATATAACTTTTCACCCCTTGCTCCAGTTTGTCTAAACTGAACGTAAGAGGAAAACATGATCAGCTTCCACTAAACCCCGGAACCTAATCTCTATATTGTTTCTTCTTCTTCTTTTCAATGCCATCACTCAAAACTAACAAAACTTTCTGCAAAACATGCACTTTAAATGTACCGCACCGTCTGTGCCTGCAGGTGTACAGACAATTTCCATCTTTCCATTTTTTCACCTTCCTTTTCTCTTGCACTCACAGCTGCATCCCCAGATGTTCACATGGTGCACACCATCTGTTTCAATAAAGTACTAAATCCAGCTAATATACTGGAGCTCTTGCCTTTAAGCAGAGGGGTCTCAGCTAGGTGACAAATGTGCTAGCTGAAAGAGGCTCATAGATATCCATTTATGCATATTTTATAACACGACCCTTTGAATTTCTAATCATGAAGTATGATTCAGTTGCAGCTCATCCAAGTTCTAAATATAATTATAAAAACTTTTAAAATTAAAGGATTTCCATCAGTTTAAATAAAAACCAGACATGACAATATATAGTAGAATAAAAAGTAGCACATTGCAGTGTTTTCTAGCAAATGACATTTACATACATTCGTATGCATTTTACATGTGCATCTATGTTTTGTCCTTGAGACAAATAAAGCACAACAGAATAATGAAGGCATCTTTCAAGAGATGACAAGCCAAATACATATGCATTTTACAAAAGCTTCTGATGTACCTCTAAATGATTTTAATGAATACTGGGGAGCTGTGGAACAAGAAAGAGAAAATGAGATTGACAGGGGCTTTAAAAAGGAGGAAGTCTTTTTTTTTTCTTTGCTCGCTAGTACTGTCTGTCTGACAGTGACTGTCATTTGTAAAGGAACACTGTTGTGCTCTGTTCCAACAGCTACATGACAACCATGAGAAGAAGTACTTCACTACTTCTAATGACGGATTTTAAAAGCGGCTCATCCTCAGACAGCAGGAGGCTGAACACCTTTCTCGGAGATAACAGGTTGGCCAAGACTCCGATACTCCGTATTTTAACAAACGCATCCTCTGTGTACTTACTATGCATCATTTCAGACAATCAGCAGCTGAAACAAGTGCTCCTCTGTTTACCAAATACAACGTGAGCTCTTCCTCACTTCCTGTCGACAAGATCTGCTCTGAACGGGCACTGTGTTTGTCAAAAGCAGAAAGTTTGAAACGCAGAAAGAGACTTTTCCGTTAAACTAAAGTTGTCTACGTTTCCACTAACAGCACAGCCTTGAACCCATCACACCATCCTACCCACCCAGCCTTCCACTGACATCAAACAGAACCTCAGACCTGGTTTCCCTAATGCAATGCTATTTTTAACTAAGCGTTTCTAATAAGCTGCTGGGAAGCTGTAAATTTTTCATATGCAAGCACATATTTCCTTTGTGAAAACACAGAAACACACTTATTTGCTGATTAGTGACTGACAGAAGGGAGGAAAGGAACTGAATATGCTTGTATCAAATTGCATGCCTTTCAAAAAGGAGGAATCCTAATGCAAGGAGTCGTCTTCCTGTGCACCACAGGTATGAGTGAATTATTAATCGGCCAGCTCATTTTAATGCTTTTTAAAGTGCTTTATTTTGATGTGCTAAAACATACTTTTAGCCATATTCAGTCAGGCATGCATATCATTATTTCTTCCATCAAAGAGGAGTGTCGCCCTTTCAAAGAGCACAAACAACTCAGCCTCATTTAAAATAGAAGTTCAAATATCAAAGACGTTTTACAAAGGCTTGGCTTCAAACGCTCTGATGAAGTTTCCTTTTTTGCTGTACTTTATGAAAACTTGGGTATGCAAAAGGTGCGAATTGTTTTGCAGCTTTTAACCTGACTAGTGTAAATCAAAACATCCTGCAGTAACACAAGAAGCTAGACAAGTGAAAAGCATCCATCCAGGCCTCTTACTGCTCCGTGTCATTAGAATCAAAAATATGTTCAGTTCAGTGAAAGATGCATGAACTGCCAGCAACGCTTTTTTGCTAATACAAAGTAAATCAAGCATGAAAAATAAAAATGAAACAATGTTTTATTTATACAGCTTCAACTACCTGAATAATACAGTTTTACATATAGAATTAGAGCCAGTGATGCACAAATACTATGCAATATGCTGTGAGGCAGAATTTAGTTTAGTAGATTAATTTTCATTTGCTTTCACTTCTCTGCCAATTTCTAGAAAAATCTTTGTTCTATCATGTTGCTAAATTAAATTTCAGTACTGAAATTCAGGACTGTAGTTTTTAATCCACTGAGATGCTCCGTGTTTAAACATAATGGGTAAATACTCGTTACAACAGAATAACAGCTGCTAATGTGAATCGATAATTTATTTTGTTTGGACCTTAAAGATTTCTTTGCAATAGGACAAAACCTAAAACATCCAGTTTTAATGATTAACCCAGGGGTCTGCAACCTGCGGCTCTGGAGCCACATGCGGCTCTTTGGTTCCTCTGCAGCGGCGCTTTCAAGCTTCGACCAAAACTGGCATACAAGTTTTATTGGTTCTTATACAAACAACAAAAATATACTAGTTTTAGCTGTTTTCCTGTCATTTATTTTGCAAATACTCACTTTAACTTTTTGCTTTATGTCTATACTTATTTATTTTTTCCACTATTTAAAAAAAAAAAAAATCACATAGGTCTGCATAGTTTGTTTTTATTTATTTATTTATCTCCCCTCTTTACAAAAATCTGGTCTTTTCATTTGTCTTAAATTGTAACAAATATCAATAAATGTTAAACATCATAATATATTTTTAGCTTTATAATGCAGTCTCCTCCAAATAACCTAAAGTGGCCCATGGGCCACCAGTTGATAATCACAGTTGCAGCAGGTTGTTTCATCTCCGGACACATTTAATTTAGAGAATGAAGGTGTAACAATGGCTCTTTTGATCATAAAGGTAGCAGACCCCTGGATTAAACTATTCATTCAACCTTTATTTCTACAGGTTAGTCTCACTGAGCCTCGAGGACTCGTTTATAAGAGAGACCTGTTTTAGAACAAAAGAACACAGATGTGGTACAGACAACTATAGATAATCATATAAAAGCAGATAAAATGAAAAGTAAATAGAAGAAGTGATATAAAATTAAACAAAACCAGCTACATTATAAAGTGATGTAGAATACTAAAACCAGGAATCTATAAAATCTAATTCAAACTATAATCTATACATTATAATCTCAATATGAAGTAAAGTTTATCATAATAAACCTGTTGAGAGCACTGGACCTATTTTCTATATTAGCTACATAAGATATATATATATATATATATATATATATATATATATATATATATA